ATAGACTATTCCTTTAAGTAGATTAAGGTAATGTTCGGAAATACAGAATGAAAAAAAATCAGAACATGAACAGAACATTTTCTGGTGGTTTGGGAAAATTAAATATTTGCACTTTTAATGGAAAGGCTGTGCATATTTAATCATGTTTAACCAAGTCATTTAAACAAGTATTACATATAAGATCAATGAGCGACGACATACATGAGGCGTTCGCGATTAGCTATTAGTAAAATACTGTAAATCACAGAGGGGGGAATACATTTCCTCTGGAAACATTTTAGTCAAATATTTGGTTTAGTTTTATACAAGTCAGTGCAATGTTGGTCGCTGGAATGAAATTGGTTCTGTTTCCTTCCAAATGTTGACATAACTCCTGACACTAAGCAGGCCCATTCTGGGCTGTCGTCTCCATAAACGGCTCTAGTCAAGTTCGGCTGATAGACTAGAGGTCAGGCCCTCTGAACTAACCCTGATCCCATTATCCACTAAATTACATTTTCTTTTTAGCACTCTCATTCTTGGCTTCTTCATCAGATGTTAGAACATAGTTTTGTAGAACTGACCTCTAAGCACACACAACACTAACACACAACAAATTAAAGAACTATCACTGGTTATTTACAAGTAATTGTATCATTTTAGTGATAGTCTGAAAATGGACAAATACTGGCTGATTAATAATTAAATAGCTTTAGCCAATAAAACCAATAAACCCGGAAAAAATGGTTTGAAGTTAAAAACGTCTTCATGATGAATTTGTTTGTGACAAACATGCAACTGAGTCATGTGCATTACTTGTGGATTATTGTGGTGTTTTTAATCAGCAGTTTGAACTCGCAATCTGACGGCACCCATTCACCGCAGAGGATCCATTGGTGAGCAAGTCATGGAATGCTAAATTTCTCCAAAACTGTTCCGATGAAGAAACAAACTCCTCCACATCAGTACATTTTTATTTTTTGCTGAACTGTTCCTTTGACAGTTCGAAACCAAAAGCTTTCTCAATGGATAATGTACAATTTAAAAAAAAAACATTCTCAGTGAATTTTGAACAAAATATTGTGTAAATAAGTATTCATTTGCATAATTAAATTGTATTCATGTGTACTATCCATATTATCTAGGCTACAATTTGCATCTTACAGATAAATTCCTTTAATTTAGTTTTGAGACCACTCTTGTCTCTCTTTTTTTTAGACTAAGACAATTATAACTTGCATTAAAAATTGCATTGCAACACTGAGTCAACAACCCTTATATGACCTTCATTTTAGCAAAGTATGCGTAACCAGACGTTTACAGTCAACCTGTTCGGAGCCATCCTTCTATCCTTCCCGCTTTGACTCAAGCCCTGTTGCTCTCACCAAGAAATGGAAAATAAACAGTGTTTATCAAGGATATATTTATATCAGACAAAACTATTTGGTGATATTATAGACCTGAATTGGGAAACCTGTTGATATGACTGCTTTCGTGCCAGTGCAGGAAACTATTTGTGTTTTTCTCTGCAAATATTTACCAGGATAAAGAACATTCCTGAGCACTTGTACAGCAACTGAAAGAGTTACACAGGAAAAGGAGAGAAAGAGAGGATAAAAATGAGGTACCCTTTGTATGTGGGGGAAGGGAACATTAATGGGAAGAGGAAACTAGAAACAGACATGGAAAGAGAGAGAGGGGAAAATGGAGGGAGAGAAAGAGGGGGATAGGAAGTGAGAGAGAAACATCTAAAACTCCAGATAAATGGCTAGATAACAAAATGTAACCACAGACTTACACAATTTAAGGTAATTCTACATTATAAAATGTCAAAATGGCATACTTCTAAATGCACGACACTTAAATGTTAAACTATAAACACTAAATAACACTAAACAGTTTCCACCAAAATACCATATTGTTTCTATTGTACAGGATAATTGCAAATTACGATGGTTTAGGCACTGTTTATCAAAAAATGAAATTAAAAATGCAATAAACTAAAACGTCCAGGAGATTCCAAAGTACTTTATTGTGATTTTACAGTAGTAACAATAACTACACAAATTAATGTGTTAATGTATGCTGTACATTATGCTAAATCTATACATTAAAAACAGTTTACAAAGTTTCTAAAAAATGAATTATTAAACACGCATATGTGCACTTCCACTTTATGAAGTATTTGAAGCTGGCTCACTTGCTGTTAAAAGACGGTTCTGTGAAATGTAAATGTTTATTTGACTGAATTTCTAACATTTACAGGTAAAACCCTTTTAGCATTCAGTGGGAAAACATACCCCAATCTCCCCACTGCTTTTAAAAGCTGAAGCATTCTTGTACACAGCAACCTGGCCACATGAAACGATATGCATATGATCTTCTTTGAAGTATTTCATATAAAGTACACCCATGCTTTGGACAACTTGGGTGGTGTACTTTCTTCTATATTTAAAAAAAATATCTATTCCTCTAATAACCAAGCTGAATTTTCAGCAGCCATTACTTCAGTCTTCAGTGTCACAAATTATTCTAATATGCTGATTTGGTGCTCAAGAAACATTTATTATTATCAATGTTTGAAACGATTGTACTGCCTAATATTTTTACGAAAACCATGACACATTTTTTCAGAATTCTTTATTGAATAGAAAATAATCCTTTCTACCTTTATAAATGTCTTTACTGTCACTTTTGATCAATTCAATGCATCCTTGCTGAATAAAAGTAATAATTTCTTTAAAAAACAAGTTTTATTAACCCCAAATTTTTAAACGGTACTGTAATTTTCTATAGAGAAATGGGTGGGCCCTTCTAAAACCAAATAAACTCTATAGCAATGATTTACGGTTGACTCTTACACATGGTCTAACCTCAAAACACCACCTGCAGGTTTGCCCAAATTACGTCATGGCACTTCCTTGTGAGTCAAACAACGTAATTACAATGAGTCGGGCTTTACGCGTGCCTCTGATGCTAATTAGAGGGAACTACATTCTCATGTTAATAGATTCTCTTAAACACCAAGCTCTTCTCTGGGGGCAATTAAGCAAATCCTAATGGTGAAGACAACACAAGACAAAAGCAGGGGTAATACGGCCACATCCATACGTATATGGACCTTACAGTGAGGAGCTCTTTTGCATGTGTATTATTAGGAGTACAGTGGTATGTTATTTGCATTTGAGAAACAAGATAATCCTGACCCTGGGGCAGCCGCTGACCTCAGGTACTTGAACATCCGCACGGCTTATGGCTAATAACGAAATCATGACAAATAGGAAATCCTCACCGAATTAACTTGAGCAATATTAGAGAAGCAATTACAGGGGAGTCGGCGAGCTTGGCACATTCGTGAAGCTTCGTGCCACCACAAAGAGTTACAAGGCGCTAACACACAGAGGAGAGGTTTAACGACTCGAGTTCTTTCCTCAAATCTGCACTCATCCCCCTTTATCCTATACGACTACTGCCGACCGGTGAGCTGGCTTGACCCCCTGGACTCCCGCTGGCCCTCAGTTTGTCATTGGTCCCCCATCAATGGAGAAGAATATAACCGAATTGGGCCAGCGGGGGATTCGGACACTTGCCACAAAGGGGAACGGTATGCAAAGAGTTAATCTGTGTTTGAGATCTTTAACAGGAACAAAGGACAGCAGCAGAGACAAAGGTTGATGAAAGGGGTTTGGAGGAGGGATGGGCCATGTCTTTGCCCCACCATCTGGGCTTTTTGTCTGAAGGAGTGGGGTGGGAGAGCCAGGCCCGGGCAAATATGCCCTCCGTAAAGGCTGCCTGACCCAATAATACACCCCTGCCACAGGTCAATCCGCAGCAGGTTAAATATACTGTTTGACGGCTGGTGTCACAGCCAAACTTAAGTCTGGATTAGTATAAATCAATACAGTGAAAGTGAATACAAACAATCTTGTAGATGGTCTGTAACAGTATGCTCTCTTTTTATGGTGGAGTCGCTTTTGAGTTTTTCAGTTTTACTGTATCAGTCACAGTATTGGTTAACCAGATCAGGTATTTCTTTTAAAATAATTTTTAAAAATAGAATTTATTATAATTTGAAGGCACATAAAAGCATTTTTTTCGTGCATCAGTTTATTTTAATTAATAAAAAATTTTATTGCAATAGCAGGTGTAAATACAGTTCTTGCAGTTATGCATGAATCTCCAAGGCAGCAATAAGTTCAAAAACACTTTTCTGGACATTAACATATATTGAAAAACAGAATCCTTATTGTTGAGCCCTGCAGGTGCAATGCGATACAGTACCATAAATCTTATCCTAAGTTTTTGCTTAAACCAGCCATAACGAGCGGTGCATGACGAGACATTTGAGGTTTGCGCAAACTATCTCTAGATAACAGTAATAGTGATGCTTGCCTTACAGTATTGGTTAACCAGATCAGGTATTTCTTTTAAAATAATTTTTAAAAATAGAATTTATTATAATTTGAAGGCACATAAAAGCATTTTTTTCGTGCATCAGTTTATTTTAATTAATAAAAAATTTTATTGCAATAGCAGGTGTAAATACAGTTCTTGCAGTTATGCATGAATCTCCAAGGCAGCAATAAGTTCAAAAACACTTTTCTGGACATTAACATATATTGAAAAACAGAATCCTTATTGTTGAGCCCTGCAGGTGCAATGCGATACAGTACCATAAATCTTATCCTATATAAGTTTTTGCTTAAACCAGCCATAACGAGCGGTGCATGACGAGACATTTGAGGTTTGCGCAAACTATCTCTGGATAACAGTAATAGTGATGCTTGCCTTAGTAAGCACTACTAAAAATGTGCAGATGAGCTGTAAATTCTGTAACTTCATGCAACGTGAGCTTTCAGCAAGGACTGAAAAATAACTTGCCCTGTGCCTAGATTAGACAAGATGTCAGAGCATCAATAAAAAATAAATGTATTTGTCCATTTTGAAATACACACTTATTAGTACTAGCTTGCACACAGACAGTTAGACAGCATGTATAAAATATAAATAAAACACATGAGACTTACCACCACCATGAATGGAGGAATCCAGGAGGCTCCCCTAGCGTAATGTTCTTCTCCCATCGGATCTACAACAGGCAGCGAGAGGGAAGAAATGAGAAAGAGAAAGAGGGGTTGTGAGACTGTAGATAATGTAATATCTAATCTGCTCTCTGACCCAATCCAGAGCCCATATATCATCCTGCTTTCTCCACCAAAACAGCAGAGTTGTTTTCCTCACATCCTTCTACGACACTGGAGCTTAAAATGTTACAGGCAGAGAGGAGAAAGTCCTTCTGGGAAGCCCCTATGTACAAGTCATAAATTTATAATTCCAATGTGAACTGCATTGAAGTGATTTTGATTTGAATAATAACAGAATAATGGTCAATGTATTTGCCATGCATGTGTTATCACCCTTATGTCATTTCCAACCATTTCAAAACTTTCTCTCTTCTGTAGAAAACAAAAGTGAAAGTTCCATATAGTGAAAGTTAATGGGGTCCAATGCTGTTTTGGGCCCCACTGACTTACATTATATGGACAAAACCAGTTGAAAAATTCTTCAAAATATCTTCTTTTGTGTTTCGCAGAAGTCAATGCAAACAAGTCATGGTGCAATGATTCCACCATGATTGTTTATGTAAGACACACCTGACTTGGAACGCCAGGGCTCAAAGAAAATCCAGAGATTTCCAACTGGTAGTTACAATGTTGGTGCCTGTCACATGACCTCATTTACTACTGCAACATGATTTGAAGGTAGCGCATATTCTTGGCAGCATTGCTCAGCTTCATCCTGGTCAATCTACCAATGTGGAGACCCACAGCTCATGACCCTCAAAATTAATCATGGCTTCTGTTTTTCCTACACTTCATTCAGGCCTTGGGGCTCACTTTCACTCCCCATCATTTCTGCTTGTGTGGAAATGACCAGGGCGACTCTCATTAAGGCCATAATCTCAGTGTATTTAACAAACATTCTCCTTTGTAATTGGTGAGTAGAGGGACCTGAACTGACCGTGGAAAGTGTGAGGAAAGAATTAGCCTATTATAACAATTATATGTGGATGATTACACAGGAAACTTTAGTGAGAAAAAAAAGAAAATCTAAGAGGATAGGATAGGTTTGTTCACTGCAGCTGAAAGTGGATTACTGAAGCAGGTCTGAAGGTTAAGAACACATTACCAGTCAATTTCACTTCGTCGGCCTACCAAACGGCAAGATAAACATCTGACCAACTTGTGGTGCTTTTGAGAAGTGCTGCAGAAAGTCAGGAAAACAATGCCGCAACGCAGCAGAGATGCCGCCAAGCCAACAGGGAGGAAAAACACCCTGGGGTAAAAGAGCAATGGAAGGAAATGACTGCTCACAAACAAACGGCAACTAAAAGTCCAGATTCTGAGACAGTAGAAATATGGGGAAAAGCAAACTGTTCAGTATAGTTAAGATCAACTATTCTTCAATACATTGATGCAGAGTGTCAATGTTCTCATTAAAGGTGGGGTAATCGATTTTTCAAAAACGCTTTAGAAAACTGATTCGGGCCGACTAGCAAAACAAACTTGTAGCCAATTAGCAGTAAGGGGCGTGTCTACTCCTGATGTGGAGGAGAGAGCATTCAGTCCGAGCCGAGAGACAGAAAGATAGAGATGGCAGATAAAAAACAAAAGAGGAAAACGTCTGCGGAACAAAAGAAGGCTTAAGGCAGTAAGGCAAGAAGTAGGACCTGTGTAAATATCGGATCAGCTTTCCAGCGCTGGAAAAAACAAAAAAAACAAGACAAAAACGTCTGCGGAACAAAAGAAGGCTTACAATATGGCAAGAAGTAGGACCCGTGTAAATATCGGATCAGAACTCAAGGAGCGGAAGGCCTGTGATTGGACGCCGAGGTTGCTTTGTTTCTTCTCAATAGGTGAGTAACACCGTGTCTGCGGCACAACAGCTAAAGTCTAGTACACTGGACGCGACAAAGCCATCGTTGAAAATCATTTGAAATTTGTGTCAATACGCCATGAATAGAACGCAGCAGTTTTCTGTCGGTTTTTTTTCTCATTTTGTCTCTCATAGTTGAGGTATACCTATGATGAAAATTACAGGCCTCTCTCATCTTTTTAAGTGGGAGAACTTGCAGAATTGGTGGTTGACTAAATACTTTTTTGCCCCACTGTATCTATGGTGTAGACAGCATCAATGATTATGAGTTCCATAGTATTTTGTTGCACCGTGCCACTCGCGTCAAGTGTAGACACGGTGTAACATTGGTTTTGCTTTGTTTCATAGAACTAATCGTTGCCTGGGTTGTGTATGTATGTGTGGGGCAGAGCTATCAAAATAGGGGCGAGATTCTTTTGGGATAGGGGCGTGTTTGTTTTGGTGATTTCAAATGTCAACATTGGCTACCAGAAATCGCTTACCCCACCTTTAAAGTGAATACATTAAAGTAAGTTATTTCCTGACACAAACAACAAAATTAAATGGATTCTAATGTTAAATGTGGAGCAAGAAAAATCCAGAAAATGTTACTAAGGCAGTACAGCGCAGCGCACAATATCCTGCCCCATTCAAATGAAACAAGTGGATTCAATTTGGATTTTATAGCATTACAGAAAAGAACAAGCTTGACAGGAAACATGCTTTTGTAAGTGATACCATATCACCACAATAGAAAATAATTATGTATTTCTATAAATAGAAATTTATATTTATATTACTTGTTTATAAAAAAGGCAGCTTGGTGGATGATAATTTACAAGTGTTTTCTAACTAAAATCTGTACTAAAGTCATACAAAAGAAACTAAAGTGTGTGTGTGTGTGTGTGTGTGTGTGTGTGTGTGTGTGTGTGTGTGTGTGTGAAACCAAAGTCTTACCTCGGAAAGGAAGGTCTGTGCTGATTTCTGGGCCCCAACATGCAATAAGTACTCGTACACGTATAAAGCTAACCTAGAAGAGAACAAGAGAGAAACAGACGTTATATTCAGGGCATGATGTTGACGTTTCTGAGCAGGAAATCCCAGATTATACTATAAGCAAGCAAAAATAATAGCTCCAAGATAACAATAAAATGTTGAATATAAACAATAAACTTCCATATATTTCATTCAATAAAAAAAATAAAAAAAACTGTGTGTGTTCCAAGTAGTTTTATGTGTATCTGATTCTGAATACTGCATCATTATCTTTGTAACACACTGACATCAATCTTTTTGAAAATCAACTGCAAGTTCCATGTGCAGATCGCTATATGTTGCTGCTTATGTACAGGTGCATCTCAATAAATTAGAATGTCGTGGAAAAGTTCATTTATTTCAGTAATTCAACTCAAATTGTGAAACTTGTGTATTAAATAAATTCAATGCACACAGACTGAAGTAGTTTAAGTTGGTTCTTTTAATTGTGATGATTTTGGCTCACATTTAACAAAAACCCACCAATTCACTATCTCAACAAATTAGAATACTTCATAAGATTTATTGAGATGCACCTGTATAGCATAGGTTTTCATGCAGCCTCAGAAGGTAGCTGCTTATGTAGGCAGTTTGCAATGTTTTAGAACAGAGATATATACTTTCAGTCCCTAATTGTTTGCTGTCACTCTAGTTTGGATATTGTTCAAAAAGTTGCAGAAAGAAAATCAGTGACTATAATCAACAACAATAGGGATTGTTGATTACACAAGTACACATGCACATACAAAACACCCATCAACTGCAGCGGCCGCATGTCCGATCTCCACATCCCGTTTGTTCCGTGAAAAGAACAGAAAGATCAGCCAAAGCATGTATAGCTGGAGTTGTCACGGCAATCTGATGGCACCATTGCGGTTCTTGTGTTTTTGTCATTTTCTGTATCCATTATGTCTGTTGTTTAGCCGCTTGGGCTTGCAATTACCCAGCTCCCAGTGTACCATCTCTCTGCTCCTATCCTTTCCTTTTCCCTTCCATCAGCCATGAGAGAAAATAGCACTGCAAAGCTCTGCTGGCAAAATGACATTCAGAGACCGGCACAGTTTGGTAGAAACACAGCTTTAGACTGGCTGCGGCACATTTGGGCAAAAACATTAATTTCCACCATGGGTAAGGCAATGCATACACACACAAGATTGGCAATTCCATATGGACGTGCGTTGATGTCCAAATCCGATGTTTCAACAGAGAGATAACAGGTTTGGTCATATTATGTAAAATTAAACACTAATTACACAGGAAAGATGACTTATAATAGTTCACTCAAATTTAAATTCTGCCAGAATTTTTTTACTCATGTTCCAGTGATATTTTACAAAATTTGATTGGAATACTGTTTTTTGTTCACACAATGAAGGTCAGTAGGGTCCAGTGTTGTTTTGGATCCCACTGACTTGTGTAAATAAAAACAGCTGAAACATTGATCAAAATATCTACTTCTATATTCCATTCAGATTTTTTGGCCTTTTTCTACTTTTACGAATAGATACAGTGAGAGTGAGAACAGGAAATGGGAAAATGCTGTGAGCCAGATTCGAACTTGAGCACCACGACTCAATGTTTTGGTGCATGTGTGCTAACCATTACTACTTAAGAATATAAAAACCATTGGCAATCTTGTAATCTATCTAATGCAGGGTTTTTACTGTTTTCTAAAACTATCAAAAACATTTTAAAAGAAATAAAGCTAAAATAAAATTTGTAAAATATATTTTCGATGGAAAACTTAAACTAAACTAAAATTAGAAATGTTGCCTTGGCAACTAACTGAAAAAAAGTTGAAGTTGAAACACATAACTTGAAACAATTAAAAACCAAAAACTAGTCTAAAACTAAAACTGAAATAAAATAAATCAAACCTAAATAGTACTATTTAAAAAAATTTACAAAATTATATGATCAATATATAAACATTTCAAATTTTAATAAAAACTATAATAGTATATATGAATAATACTAAGATAGCACTGTTCTGATGGAGCCTTCTCTCCAACGCACATCCAGTGGGCAGAAGCATGTATTTGTGTGGGAGCAGGAAGCTTTCCCAGGCATCAGCGAGGAGGTGAATGAGTCAGTGGAAGGAGGAGCCCAAGGTGGCAGGCTCATAAATAGCAGAGGAGAGCTCCCTCTGATCAGCCAGTCAATGACTGTGATAAAGTTGTATATGAATGACAAGGAGGAGATCCAGCACTCCATTACTGCACAAACACTGACGCGCTGGCGCAGGAGAGTGACCAGAATGACAATGCCTCCCACCGAGAGCCAGTGATGGAGGGGGAGTCAACGACAACCATAAAACTGTGGAAGAGAGGTTCAAACAAAGTTCAGTTAAAGGTCCTACTGCCACAAAGGATCTACAGAATTAACATGTCAGCAATGAACTTAAGCTATATTTCGGTTTATCTGTTAGCCATGACAAACAGAAGCAGAGGTGGGCAATATGGCAAAAATGTCATATCATGATTTTTTTCAGACAGGATCTCGATTTCCAATCTTATCACAGTTCTTTTGCATGTTGGCTTTTAAAATGGATAGTTCACCAAAAAAATTAACATTCTGTAATTGTTTACTCACCCTCCTGTCAACCTTTCAACGTTTAGATGTAAGTAACAGCCTAAATTAAATCTTTTCACCATCTAAAGCTATCACATCTTTTCACAAGACTTGTATTAAGCTGCTTGATTCACATGGATTCGCTATGCAACACCTTTATTTGCTTGTTTTTGGAATCATGGCATAATTATTTATTTAGCAAAAGCCATTTCAGTGAATATCACTATACATTTCAAAGCCTTGCATTTGAACTGCACCCATGACACTCATTCAAGCTTTATTAAAGAGCTTAGTCAGGAAAAATGCCATATTTAATTTTAAATGAATGAAAATGAGGCTGTTAGTGTATAGTCCATTCAGATGTAGAGTCTGTTCAATAGTCACAATCTCACAATCTTTTTTTTCCAACAGAAATTTTCAGAAAACCCTATTTGCAATATAAACAAGGTACACACAATAGTATGAGCAACACATTGCATCTTTCACTCACAGACATTTTCATTTGTATAAAATTAAACATATTAAACATTATTCTACCATGGCTTTTTCTATGTAGAATTGCATTTAATCTAAATTTTATATATAATGTGTCTCAATTGAACTTAAAGTGCCAGAAAGCATACTGTCCGTTAATAACACAGTACCTCAAAATATTTAACATGTCTCGAAAAATTTCTAAATCCCTGGTAGCCCTTCGGCCAGGCACTCTTCAGATTTTGGTAGCCCGAAGTAAATTTAACTAGCCCAAATAAAAAATAAAAAAATTTTAATATAGAAAATATCTAAACAAATGGGTCTAAATGTTATTTAAAAATCAATTAATTATCAATTATTGGATTTCAAATCAATGGGGGGTGAGGCATCAAAAGTAACTAAGTAGCTGTTTTATGGATGGTAACTGTAACATTACTACTGAAATTAGGGCTGCACGATTGACAAAAATCCTAATTGTCGATTATTCCCTTGAAATTGTAATTGTGATTATTAATTACGATTATCACAATTTACACTGAATGATGTTTATACCATTGTTTAATGCAACTGCATGCCGTATTTTTATATGAAAATAAACAAGCTGAAAACACTCTAACTGAAAAACCTTTACTGCTTTTCTATAGTATTAAGCCTCAAATGTCAACTATACATCGGATTGGTTTCTTCTTTAAATTATAAAAAAGTTAAAATATGAATTGTATTATAATAATAAAATTATAATATTATACTAAAATTAAAATTTAAATAATGGGAAAAACCCTTAAGATAACAGGTAGAAAGAAAAAAACGCATCTTAAGCACGCAGAATAACATAAGTGGACTTTGAACGATTAATTGCCGCTTTGAACGATTACGTAATTGTGGCATCCATAATTGTAATTGCGATTAGAAATTCGATTAATTGTGTAGCCCTAACTGAAATCTACTACTAGATTACTGCAAAAAGTAATATTATTACAGTAACTAGTAACTAGTTACTGCCCAACACTGGTTCTGAAGAAGTAAAAACCACAGTTGCATGTCTCTGACTGACTTACTCATGACCAATTTAGTCAAGTCAACTGTTCACTTTGTAATTTGCTAGTTATTTAGCTCACTACCTGTCTTACCATAAACAAGGGTTTAGGAGCACCAAAGGGGTTCGACTGCTGGGCTTGAAGAAAACATCTAGCAGCTGCCATCTGCTTAAATATGAGGGAAGCACGAGACGATCTGGATCACACTGTGGATTCCCAGAAGTGTGCTTATAAAAATTTCATGGCAGGGAGGCCCATGTGATCTGGGTGGAGGGGTGTACTGTGTGCTTTGGTACAGGGTACCAGCACCTGGCCCTGATGTATTATTGAACACCGTTCATTCAATTGGCAAGAGCACCTTGTGTAGTTGTCAGGAACATTGAGTGCGAGAGCCAAGAACAGGGCCTCTGGATTCCGAAGGTCCTGTTTGGAAGCCCAAACACTTAAAGACATCACAGAGGGATGGGAACAGGGAACTACAGCTGATGGGACGAGACCATGAGGTGCGGGCAAGAAGAAGTGTCTGGCCTAGCTGCAAGAGCAGACACTATTAGCAATGCTGGGATAAAATTTGGGATATTGACTTTCATTGCAAAAAAAAAACATTTTTTAAATTTTTTATTAGTTTAAAATGTTTTGTTCCAGGGAAGAATGTCATACATGCTGTGTTGCCAAACCCACGGTTTTCCCACAGAACTGGGCTACTTTTATAATGCTGCTTTAGTCCGTGGGTTGAAGTGAAACCCCCCGCCACCTGAATGCGATTTTGACTGAGGTGGAACGCTCTGGAAGGAGGTTCTGACCCCCCTGGAACACGAATTTGGAGCAATTGCAGCCATTTTCCCCCAAAAAGCGATTGGGCTAGTTTTGAGTACCAATTGGGCTGCTTTGTTTTAAATAGACCTGGCAACCC